AAAAAACTCCCACCGTAATATTCCCAGACAGAGATTTGGAACCCAAACACCTCAAATAAGTTACATTCTTTCGCTACTTTAGTGAAACCCAAAATCATCAATGTAATTTGCACTTTGTTTAATTACCTAAAAGATGATAAAATGCTCATTTTAGCCCACTATATGATTGAGATACTTCAAAATTTGTTGATATGCTTATGAAATGATATCCTCTTATGTTTAACAAAACACGGACAGGAGTCAGGAGAGTGTAACTTTAACCTCAAGTACTTATTATTTATATATCAATTCACCTTATACATCAATTCACCTCATAAAAAACTTTCACCTCATTTAATTTCCCACCTTTAGCCATCTGCTATTGTTTATACCTAAATGTTTAAACAATATATTAAAATAAACTTGTTTACTTCAACAAAATCTAGTGATAGCAAAAACAAACACAACAAACAATCTTATAATAGAGCAAAGCCATCATTCAAACAAATGCTAAGAAATCTTATAAATTGCTATATGACTATACCTACATGTTTTACATACACATTGAAAAGATCTCTTCTACTTTAACAAAAGCGAGTGATAGCTGAAAATAAATTATAGAACCACCTTAACCTCTATACCCCAAGATTTTAACAATTAGACAAACAAATACGGAGTACTAATTTTTCAATATGAAACCAACGGTGTCAAAGAAATTTGCTGAAGAAGCTGCTACTTCATTCTGGACCAACTCCATTGTGGCAACAAACTGGTCCACAACACTAATAAAATAGGTTACCAAGAGTATTCGTTCTGGATTGCATATTTACTTGAATCAATCCAAACAAAATTTATCTGAAAAAACTTTAAAATTAATTTTTTTTAGTAAAAATCAAAACTGGATGTGTGAAATAATATGTCCAAAACATAATATAATTGGAAAACCTCTAAGTTACATTTCACATCGTCAAACCTGTAATTTCGCTGAAACAATTAAAATCATTAACTGAGCTCTTCATGGACATTATTACAAATATATAGGTATCAAACATATCAGCATTGAGTTTGAAGATGAGATTAACCTATACCTAAAGATGATTTTTTAAACACTGAGTATATACTAAAAAAAACTACAGTTATGCCTAGTACTAAGTATATTCTAGCCAGGGGAGGATCTATGTGTGGGCTATGATCGGCTGAAGCCTAGGGCAGTTTAAATTTTTTTTCAATTTTTTTAGTGTAAATTTTAAATCTTTTCATATTTAGCCTACCCCGCTAATTTTTAAACCTAGTATATTTAATTTTTAGCCCATGGCATCCCGAAATCATGGATCCGCCCCTGATTCTAGCCGTACCTTGACACCAAAATTTGGGGGGGAAACTTTATCCGTCTTCTTCTTCTTCTTCCTTTCGCAAGCCGCAAAACCAGAGCCTAGAGACGTAAAGGTTGTCAGTCCTCCACCCACCTCGCAAGCTGCCTGGACTCACCTTGCTGGTTTCCCCTTCGCGACTCCGCCGCATTAAGTTTGGCGTCATCACTCCGCTGGCCACCGTCACTGAAAAGGAAAGCTCCAGGTCCGCCGTCCCCGTCCACAAGATCGATCAGAAAATTTGTTACAAAGGCACTTGGTCGGCTAGTCGCGAGCAGTCTCAATCGGGCACTGCTGTCACCACCATCTATGGTCCTTCCTGATTTAGCTACCATGGCTGCTGGTAGAGATGAATCCCCTGATGCTCTGCCCCTCCCAGCCAAATCGATGACATCCTCTTAAGCTGTGTGGGTATACACAGTATAGTTTTGATTTTTTTGTATGGAAAACCAAGTGATCGGTCAACAGGGGTGACTCTGAGATAATGACAACTCTGACAAATTGTTGGTCATGGTAATACTCCGTACTAAATCATCTTGGGCATTGTTTCAGACCCCCACTTAGAAGACCCAAGCCGGTGTTAACCCCAGCCCAATACATCACTTTTTGGCCCATTGTTATCCATGATGGTGACATTTTTGGGCGGGAAACTCACCAAAATTTCCACTTCTTTTTATATAGAGATAGATCATACGGAATATCCAAAACCAATAGAAAACTAAAATTGTTTTTATATCGTAAAATAGACGGCTTTATATTAAAATCAAGAACGTATACAAAACAATCTTCAGACAAATTTTACAGATCCAATCGCAAACCCTAGGAGTAGACATAGAATCAGTCACCTCATACAAAGCAACCTGACTCAGCTTGATAAATCCGAAACGGGAAAACTTAAGCCTAAAATGAACAGATCTGAAACTCTGCCTATCAAAAGAATTCCGAAAATCCAAACATTCAAACCAAATCTACTCAGACTAAAACTAGTACTACTAAAGAGAAAATAATTTTGAAATAAAATCTTTACACAAAACTCTTCCTGGTATGGAGGAGGTTCTGGAGGAGGAGGAGCTCTTGCAGTATGGATGAATACAAACTCAACCACCGTCGGAGCGGCCGACCAAGGCTTCATGATCCAGCACCGATACAAAAATTTACTGGCAATCCGTTCATCCGTCAACGTTATCTCCTCCGACATAGTTACAATCCCAAGCGTTAGAATAATAATTAAAATCCGAATAATCTGCCGCTCCAGCCCCATATTGATAGGGGCGGCGGAAAATTTCAACCCCTACAAAGAGGGGAGACGGCCGCTAGGTTTTGTAGAGAGAGAAAACTAAAATTGTTAAATAAACCAAAAACATTTCATGTCATTGTTTGTGGTGACATTAATATTTAAAATATATTCTTCATTTTTGTTACACAACTTTTCTTGATATATTTATACTCATAATTCCATTTATTAATCAAAATATCATCATACTAATGAAATTTATTAGCTCGTGAAAAATAATGTTTAAATAATTAGTACTTGTGTTAATACATTTTTTATTTTTTTAGATCATAAAACAGTTTAAGTAGTTGTTCTAATTATAGTAATAAAAAATTAATTAATTGATGTCCTTAAAAGTCATTTAACATGTTACCAGCTGATTATAAAAAGTCATTTAACTAAACACAAATTTTCAAATTGTTAGTCATATCAGCTAATCAAAACAGCCAAGAGAATCTGTTGTTATTAATCAGCTAAAACAATCCGTCAACAGCAAAATGCCAAACACCCCATTATATACTCCGTGTGATATCATTCATAGTGTCGTACACTATATATGAAAAAACCGCATGCGACAATATTAAAATACAAGTTCGACCCCATACAAACATGAATACACTTATGGTACACTGGACATAAATGTAAGAAACTTAAATAAAATAATAATGGTCACTAAAATTACTTTACAATTATTTAAAAACATTGTAAAGTAATTATTTTTTTAATGAAATATAAAATTGCACATTATTAAAACATTATTAAAAAATAATTGTAAAGTAATTATTTTTTTAATTATTTTTTAATTATTAAAATATAAAATTGCACATTATTGTCAACTTCCTATACTCATCGTTGATTCAATTAACCGACTAATTAATCGCCAATGACTATTCCATTTATCATTACATGCAATCAAGAAAACAAAGATGCTCAATATTAATTGATGCTGCAAATAAAATTACGCATGCCGAAATTCCCCATGATAGCGTATGAGAGACGAAGCTAAGGGTGGTCAGATCAGATGTCATTAAATCACTAATGGCGGTACTATTATTGTTTGAACAGAAGACAAATATGAAAGAGATCTTATCTTATAATAATAATCATAATCATGCCATAATAAATTATAATAATAATAATAATAATAATAATAATAATTGTTTCAATTTTAGACATGACTCGTATTAGCATTGACAAACTTAAACCCACCGATTATTCATAACGGCCCCACAAAACGTAAACAACGATTGATATTCAACACAAAATTTGCCATCGCGTTCATTAATAAGATTATCAGAAATGCTCACGTCCAGCCCTCTTCTATCCAGCCGCCATCCGAACTCCGCTGTTTGGGGTGGTTCCCGATAGAATTTGTGATAGAATTTTTTTTAACATGTTTCTCATCAAGTCTAGTTTGTCCATACCAAATTTTAGCTCAAAATTCGACCAGGAAGACATTCAAATAATTTTATTAAGTTGGAGGAAGCGTTCCAGCCCTGTTGGTCGCCGACTCACTCTCCCTTACGGGAGGTCTCGGGTTCAAAACTCAATGGAATGCGTTTCAGCCCTGATTACTCCAGGCCCCCCAGGCCCCCTGGAGTAAAATAAAATAAAATAAAATAAAATAAAATAAAAATAAAATAAATAAATAAATATATAATTTTATGAAGTTGACTTCGTTTTTATATGTATATTTTGGCGCGGTCAACTTCAAAAAATGATTTGAATGCCTTCCCGATCGAATTTTGAGCTGAAATTTGGTATGGACAAACTAGACTTAATGAGGAACATGCTCAAAAAATTTCATCAAAAAATTCCACCGGCAAACCATCCCAAATGACGGAGTTCGGACGGTGGCTTCCGTCCCTCCGGCTGGACCTGAGCACCCCTCGTACGATTATAATCAAATATAGTATAATAGAGTCTTTTTTTTCGCATTCATAACTAAGTCTACTCAGGTTCACGATTAGATCTGTAAATTCTGTCTGAAGATTGTCTTTTATCATAAAAAACAGATGTGAGAAATTGTAGATTTAGTCCAATATATTGTTTACCGTGTCCGTTTTTAAGTTTTTTTAACTTTACTCACTTGTATATTTGATCTCGCAATTGATTACTTATCCATATCAAAGCCTTTTCTCCAAAATTGATGCCAATGAGACCTTTTCTGATATAGTATTTATCGAAAAATGTACTTTCTAATAGGAAAGTCCTTAAAGTGGGCATATTTTTTATTTCTAGATCAAGTATGTATGTGAGAAAAATTATAGGACTAATAGCGTGCATAACTGTAAGTTCCCGAGGTAAAATTGCAAACCCTTAATAAAAGCATGAGGGATTAATGTAAAAAGTAGAAATATAAATAAAATTATATAAGAGTTTCACTTTTTTTTGGAAAAAAGTGGCTTATATTGAATAATCAGAATTCATGCAAGTTACAAAAAACACAAAAAAAAAACTCTTCCCCTTCCGACCGTCTGTCCTCGAACCAGACTTGGAGTCAAACAACTCTAAAAAATAAATATGACTCGCTGATCTTATAATGGATTTAACTTAGCCAATGACGGACGCGGCATACCTTTCATCACTCAACCTAAACTCTAGAGTTTGGCTAATAGAAAAAAGAACACAATCAAATTAACATTCGGTTCGAAATAAAAGATTAAAAAAATTAAATAAAGTTGCCTCCTCATAATCATGAGGATCCTGACCCTGTACCCATTCGGGTACAACCTTCTCAGAGACCCAGGCGGGCCTGGTAGCCAACACCCGCATTTCCCCGTTTTTTGCCTCATCGAGGGTCATTCCTTCGGTCATTTGATCCTCTTTCTCCCGTTCCTCCCACACGCCCCCCTCTTCTGCTCTCTCGGGCGACTTCCGGTACTGGTTATCTCTGTGACTCCTGTCTGGACCTCCACGGTTTCAGTTACCATCACCAGCCAAACCTGAGCCCCTTCCTCCATTCGTCCAAATTTCCCATGCTGCTAACTCTGTCTATATGCAGGTGGCAGTTTGCTCGCTCTTGTCACTGAAGCCCCCTTCTTGGACAAGCCATCTATTGTCCATTGTGGGACACATTTTTTCACCTTCCGGCTTCCGCTTTAAGACACATTTTAAAAGCTTTATATAGACCTTGCCTCCTCTCTCATATTCCAAAAGGCGGAGCTTATCTAATGACCAATTACTCCACATACAAATTAAAAATTAGGGAAACTTTTCGCACTTGAAAAGTTGAGATCCACACAATAGCTCTCCCATTTCCTTTTCTAATTGATGTACCCGCTTTTAGGAGTTTGCCAACATCTAAACAGATTCTGATACCCATGCAAATCGGCATTTGTCCACTTTGCCTTTAAACTCATTGTCATCCAATTTTATGAAACCTACATAATAACTTCCAAATCTTTTAGCTGTTTCTAAGGTCTTACACATAGACCCAGAATTCTGCCAAGTTCAAAGAAACCCTAAGGGAAATATCTCATGGTCCAATTGCTCTTAAAACTAACAGATTTTGCTCAAATAACCACAGACCATTTTCAAGAACGTGATTCATATCAATAATGTGATAAAAGGTAAAAAGATACCTTTCGATCACCAATTTCTTTGATCGGAACTCCCCTACCAAGGCGCCATAACGCAACCATTAGATCTCTGAAAACATGAAATGTCACCATCTTTTCAGTGATCAGTGTGCTAACCACCGGGAAAACCACCGGGTTGTTGTCCTCCTTTTCATTGTTTCCATCTTCTTCAAGCACCAGTTCGTCCTCCTCCAACTCCGTCTCCAGATTGTCGATTGATTGACTATTTGCTCCATTAGGCAATTGTTTAGTAAAAAAATCGTGCAGTCTGTCTTTGGAAAGCTTCGATTGACACCACATAGCTTAAGAGGGTGTTTGGATTTGATTTTAGAAGGTGATTCTAATGTCCAAAGGAGCACTTTGAAGCAGAATCACTTTTGTAAGTGTTTGAATCTTATTTAAAAAGGTCTGTTAAAATAAATGTGGAATCAGTTTGGTAGAAGCTGGATACTACCAGCTTCTGAAAATCAACTCCCGATTTTATGGAATTCAATTCCTAAAATATCATTATTACCTCTCGCATCACTTACGCAACCCAAATCAACGATCCGCCCTAGGGCTACTCTTCTCCAACCATCCTCTGTGCGATGACTCCTTGAGGCCGGTCGGCGCTTGGCTTCTCCAGCGAGCGATTTTCCGGCGAGAGCTTCTCCGTACATCATCTTTTGGCGACGCAAGCTTTTGTGAGTTTGTTGATTTGCTCTTTTATGTGATTAATATTCCAATTATTGTGTTGGTCTTCCATTTGTGTTGCAAAAAAAAATCTCTGGTTTAGTCATAAGCATATGATTTTCAATATTAATTGATTTGAATTCTTCTAAACTTCATTGACTTATGTGTGTGATATCGAAGTGCTTGCTTGTGATTTTCACCATTATTTACTTTCATTTTCTAATGAGATTAATTTGTTTGGATTCATTGGATGTATATGAGTTATGTTTGTGTGAAAAGTATTCATATTATGAAAGTATTAATTAATGAATTGTGCAATACATAGCACTAGTTTTGTGTGATATTGATAGTTCACATACTATAATGGGAAAGGTAATCCCATTTTTTATTCACTTTGATGAATTCATATTGTTGTGAAGTATAATTTTGAATTTACATTGCTAATAGTATGTTAAATTCAGGTATGAAATCTCTTAAGGTTAGTACTTTTGATGATGAAGGGAAACAAAAAAGAATCATTGGGACCATTCATGCAACTCGGTCATATGACCTTCAATGATGTATGTCTTGTTGAGGTGCGAAACCGGAATAGGCCTGGTGGTCACTTTAATAGGTTGGGATGGAAAAACTTGATTGATAACATGAAAAAACAAACGAATAGAACATTTAGCAAAATTCAACTTAAGAATCATTGGGATGAGATGAGGAAGGAATGTAGAGCTTATGATAAGCTCGTGAGGAAAGAATCGGGCGTTGGTTGGGATCCTGTTACGAAGACTATTGACGCTACACCAGTTTGGTGAACATATGTGTTGCATGTATTATTAATTCATGCAAACAAATATTTCATTTATTTTTGCCTGAAGTGATGCTAAACTGATGTACAATTTAATAAATGGTAGTTTTTATAAAACAGATTGTGCTTGGTACTTGCTAGCCGGAGATTTTTTTGGGGAGCTATGCTACAATGCAGTTTTTATAAAACTTTCATTTATTTGAGTGCAGTTTTTTGTAAAAAAAAGTATTGTTTTATACGTAGTAACATGCAGTTTTTTATAAAACAGTATTGTTTGTTATTTAATAGCTGCAGTTTGTTTTAGCAAAATATTTGAATGACAATTTGACAATTTGTTTATTAGTGCAGTTTGAAGTTATAAAAGCTTCATTTATTTTGGTGCAGTTTTTTATAAAATAGTATTGTTTTATAACATGCAGTTTTTTTTATAAAACAATATTTTTTATTATTTACTAGCTGCAGTTTGTTTTTAACAACATATTTGAATGACGGTTTGTTAATTAGTGCAGTTTGAAGTTATAAACCTTTCATTTATTTTAGTGCATCTATACTAACATGCAGTTTTTTATAAAACAATTTTGTTTATTATTTACTAGTTGTGTCTAGTAGCTGTAGATTATTCTAATGGTGCTTTTGTAAGTTAAAAGCTGCACTTTTAGTTAATTTATGGCATAATACTAATTTGATAATACCATTTGAAGTTAGAAGCTACATTTAAAGTTGATTTTTGTTAACAGGAGGATCCTGAAGGTGTCAAGCTCAAAAGGCAAGAATCTAGAAATCTATCAAGTTTACTATGAACATTTGTTTAGAGATAGAGTTGCAAATGGTGAAAATGCTAGGGATACAAATTATTACACTGTTGGTGTTGAAAACAATGCTCAATCATTTCAAGAAGAAGATGATTAACCAGAAAATGAAGAGTCTGTCTCTTTAACTTTCCCACCTTAGTTATCATAAAAGACATTCAAGTTTTAACTCTTCTCAAGCAAAAAAGGGTAAATCTTCTGCAGCCTCTAAGTTTGAAGACAAGATAGACAAAGTAATTGAGATAATGAGATCAAGAAGCTTAGTTACCTCTGCACCACCGATAAGTAATATACCATCACTTGAAGAATGTGTTGCTATGATTAGTGAATTTCCATGTTATGAACCTGGTACACTAGCATATTGTGATGTCATCTAATTGTTCTGCAAGAATGAAGCGAGACAAAGTATAATGCTTCCACCTACTTTGGAGACAAAGAAAGTACTCCTTGATAGTCTGATAAAAATCTGAAAGAGTGAGGGTGTTTTATTGTTTTAATGGTTGTCTTGAATTGAAGATTCTGTTATTTTATAAGCATGTTGAGAACAATGTTTAAGTACGTTGTAGTTATGTTGCCTAAGTATGTTATTTCCTGTGGGCTTTTGAGGAGCGGGAGAAATTGTTGGAATTCTATGAAAGAGTCTCGGGAGCCCGGATGCATGCCAGTTTCATACGACCAGGTGGAGGAATGCTTAAGGTTGTTTGAGAATATTGTTTAACCTTGTTAATGTTTTAAAGTATTTATTGTGATTTCATCATTTCAGATTTACTTTTTCTTTTTCACAATGGGTAAGTGGAAAATCAGCTCTAGCAACGAGGAAGAATCTGACAATGAAACTAAGGAGAGTGATAATCATGAAACTGATATATTGTGTGGTATTGTTGTCTCTGTCATATTATTTGGGCATAGCTTGCATGGACAAAGGCGGCTTCCTTATCGTACATCTGTTTGTTCAAGAGCTATGTTTATCACAGAAGTTTTACAAGGTCATATTATTCGATGTTATCAAGACTTTAGGCTACACAAAGAAGTATTTATTAGTGTATGTGAGGATCTTAAGTGTCATTACGGTTTTGTTGAATCAAGAGAACTATCCATTGAAGAATCCTTGGGTATTTTCTTGATGACATTGGCTCATGGTGTGGGAAATAGGTTGGTTCAAGAGACTTTTAAATATTCCGGTGAGACAATACACAGACATTTTCACTTGATTCTTTAAGTCGTGTGTAGACTTTCAATGGACATGATTCGACCCAACACTAGCTACAATGAAGAATATCCATCTCATATACGTTGCAACTCACGATATTGGCCATATTTCAAGGTGAGTACTATATTATTTAGTCATCCAAGGGTCCGGCCTTCACAGCACCTGACAACTGAGCGAAGGTATGATCCTTTATTCTCTGGTAAGCAGGCACAACGATGTAGCTATGTACTTGGAGACAAATCTGATAGATGGGCAAGGGTTTCATATACTGGATATCGTGCTCAATTTTCCCAACCACGATGGTTGTGGAAGTCCTCACACCAGCGACGTGGGAGCTTGGGCGTTTCAGAGAGTAAGAGGCAACGGTGCATGACAGATGCTGGCCGGGGTAACTCTCCATCTTCTCGATCAGCAGACTTGGACAAAGATGATTTTGAGGTTCTCATTAAAAGTAAAACTTTTCGATTTAAAGTTATTAATCGCGCTGGTGTTCGTATTTCTGAAATGAAGCATGGTATTACATCTGTCATAGATCTTGATTTCGCAAGGGTTACTCGGTTAAAAGATTCCGTTCCCAAGATTTTCAATCGCGATAAATTTTACACTAGATTGGAGCTAGATAAATCTCTTATGATTATGTATGATTCAAACTACTTTGGAGGTTTTATTCGCCTCATTAAGAAGGGAAGTGACTCTCTATTTATTCCTGAGGGACGGGATGGACATGGAATTAGTATTTTTCTTACTGGAATTGGAAAAGCTATTGCTTTGATGAACAAAAGCGCGGACAAAACTTTGGCGATTGAACATACTTCAGGTAAGGTTCTTTCAGATGATGTGGGTTCTAATAACTGTGATTTAGACTTTCTCCTGTTAGATAGGGATAACTCTCATGGTGAAATGAAAACCTCTATTTCGGGTGCATTGCTACAAGCGGATTTTGAGCATCTTGATTCTTCTCTGGATTTGATTTCTAGTGATGGTGCTAGCAACAGTAGACATATCCATGAATCTAGTTTTGAAGATCTTAAGGAATTCTTTCAAACCACATTGACAAAGGGGGTGGACTCACTTTCTCATTTTCTTCTTAATGAATTTGAGAAACTGCTTGTTTCTTCTTTGGATAACCTTGCCAATTTACGGACTAGGGATGAAAGGCAATCATCTAGAATTGAGACTGCTTTGGAGCTAGCTGAACACAATAAGGGAGTTACAGATTCAAAAGGTTTGGGTATTAGACATACGGATTCTAATTGGAATTATGCAAGCCTACATGCAATCTTTTTTAAGGTTTTGATAGTGAGGGAGCTTCTGGAGGAATGTGCTATACACACTCAGAGGATGAATTCCTTGGTCATGTCTCAGAGAATGAAAAGAGGGTTCCTACATCGACGATGGAGGATCTATGGGATTCTGATGCAAATGAGGCTATTTGTCATAAAGCTTTGCTGGTTACGAAAGAAAATTTCCTGCCCACACAAAATTTGAAAACTCAACAAAGAGTGTACAAAAAGAAAAATCAGCGATCACATGTCAGGAGGACTAGGTCTCAATCGAGAGCGGAACTTTGAAGATTCGGTTTTGGGCTAGGGATGCTTAGGGATATTCTTTACTATAACTTGGGTTGGGTGATTCTTAGCCTCGAGAGCTGCCACTTCTTTTTTCATCGCTTCTCTCCATTCGGGGTGTTTCACTGCCTGATAAAAGAATTTTGGCTCATCATATTTTGTGATGGTCGTTAGAAAGGATTTGTGAGTATTAGAGAAGCGTTTATAAGAGACAAATTTGAGAGAGGATGTACTTTTGAGGTTCCTAAGCTTGGCGTGTGGTGTTGATGGTCTGTAATACCAATATACTTTGTTTCGAAAATATCCAGATGTTTAGGTCTAGATTTCATTCTCTGGCCACGTCCCAAGTTATTAATAATCTGACTTTGGACAGACAAATCTCCCCCTGAGTTTGTGCCTTCTTGTACATCTTCCTTCTCACTATTTGGTCCTTCACATTTAGGTTCAATTTGTGATACAGATTCATTGTGAGAGTTGGAGCATTCAGTGGAATTGAAGTGTACATAATCATCATCGAAGATCTGCTCCAAGTTAACTCCATTTGAGTTATTAACATCTTTGAATGGAAAACTTTATTCAACAAAGTGCACATCCCTGGAGGTGTAAATTTTATGTGTTTCCAAGTCATAAACACGATACCTCTTCTGTGCATTAGGATATCCAACGAAAACAGACGACCTCCCCCTTTCAGCGAACTTATCTATACCTTGATGATTGTCACGTGCATAAACAAAAACTCGTAAGTTATCATAAGATGGTTTTCGTCCAAAAATGATTTCATAAGATGTCTTATTGTTAACAGCCCTGGAAGGAAGTCTATTTATTATGTAAGTTGCAATCAAAACACACTCTCCCCAAAAATCGATTGGTAGATTAGCTTGAAATCTCAACGCTCTAACAATCTCAAGAATATGCCTATGTTTCCTTTCAACAACACCATTTTGTTGGGGTGTGTAGGTACAAGATGTTTCTAAGATGATGCCATGGTGAGTATAATAATCTAGCATGTGACTTGACTTGAATTCTACCCTGTTGTCAGTACGAATTCTCTTAACCTTCCTACCAAACTGTTTTTCAATCATATTGCAAAAGATCTTTAGGTTATGGGCTACTTCTGACTTATGTTTCATAAAAAAAATAGGTTCCTCTACTAAAATCATCCACGACAGATAAGAAATAATGAGCGCCTATAAAAGAGGGGGCCTTGTATGTGCCCCAAATATCACAATGTAAGAGTTCAAAACATGAACTTGTTTTATTGTGCAAAGTGGAAAAGGAGTTCGAGTTTGTTTTGCTCGAAAACAGACATCACATGGCTCACCAACAACCTTATTATTAAAAAAAAACTAATCTGCTACATTTTACCCTTAGATGCATGACCAAATCTCATGTGCCAGATGTTTGAATCAACTGTGACCTTCATGACTGCTGCTTTATTTCCTATTGATTCCAAGCAATACAGACCATCGTAACACCTACCCATGCCAGTCAAGTTCCTCGAAACCAAGACCTACATTATACAAAAGTCCGGAAAAAAAGTTAAGGCACAGTTGAATTGCTTTGTTAGCCTGCTCACAAAAAGCAAGTTGCATTTAAACTTGGGTATATGTAAAACATTCTGAATCCTCGTCCCATTCGGCAAGTCTAAGTCACCAACTCCTTCTACTGGTATTAGATCGCCGTTTGAAATTTTCTTATGTAAGCTTGGCTTTGAACCTACAATTCTGTCCAACATATTCTTATCACATGTGATGTGTTCTGTAGCTCCCGAGCCTATCACTCAAGAGCCTTTGGATATGAGATTACCTGCCATGTTGGCTATGGGATCTGAATGACTTTCTATGGACTGATCAGGCTCTACCTTCTGCCCAAAGAAACTTGGTGCTAGTTTGTATTGCTATAAACTCATTCCACGGATTGGACTCGAGTCAAGTTCAGCGATGGCAGCCCTTGGATTTTGATCGGTATTTCCATGGGCACTAGTCCTTTTTCCATCAAAGTTTCCAAAAAACATGCGTTGTTGTTCTCTGAATTTACCACCATTGTTTGAACCCCCTTTTGATTCTGACAGATAACCCACAATCTCGTAACAAAATTCAATTGTGTGATTGGTTCTTCCACACCTGAGGCATTTCCGTTTTCTCTTCTTTTGATCCAACTCCCGACTCTCATTTTTATGTTCTGGGCCGGGCGAGCGTGGAATGCCGTTGCATCAATTTGGGGCTTTCTGAGGATAATTATTTGTCTCTGTTGCTCGTCTTCTGCGGCTAGGTGATACGCAGTCTCGAGTGAGGGTGTGGGTTTCGTAGTGAGTATTTGCGATTTCACTACGCCAAAAACATAATCAAGAATTCAAGACCCATGAGAAAATCATAAAGTCTTTCTTTATCTTTCATTTCCACAATTTGTTTGCTTGTATCACAAGTGCAACGCCCATACGAGCACTTTGGAATGGAGGTAACAGATTGTATTTCATCCCACAACCCCCTAAGCTTTGTGTAGTAGTTGGATACAGATGTGCCGTTTTGTCTAGTTTCAACCAGATTTCGCCTAAGCTCATAGGCTCTTGGTGCACTCTCCTTTCCGAATATTTCTTCTAGGTCATGCCAAATTTCGTGACCTATTTTTGTGAGCTTCACACTTGCCCAAATTTCTGCCTCCATAGCGGCGGTCAACCAGCTTCTCACCATCGCGTTACATCTCTTCCAGTAAGGCGACTCGGGTGATTTTTCTTATGGTGCCGGAATGCTGCCATCTACAAATCCATACTTGTTCTTGGCAAAAAGAGCATTGCTCATTTCGCTGGACCAGTCTGCATAATTGCCATCCCTTAGCAATTCCTTGACATGTAGCTGCTAGGGGTGGGCGCGGTCCGGTCCGATCCAATATTTGGCTGAACCCATACCCGTACCGTTACTATTCAAACGGTTCGGTTCGGTTCGGTTCGGTCTTAGACATAAACCCGTTCGGTACGGTTTCATTTTGAAACGGGACGGTACCATGTCATACCAATACCAAACAGTGCCACTTTTTCCAAGTGTTTAAGAGACAATTAAAGTTTAGTCATCCTCCAAAAATCTACACAATTTATCAATTTTCATACTCATTCCATCCCAAATTTATATGCAAAGTCAATATTGTTTGGTCAACCAATGTTTGAGTTAAATTCTCTTCATTGATAATTAATTCAATTTTTAATAATTAAAATAAACATATTCAGAAACTACATTGAAATTTCTTCAAAGTTGCAAGCTCCAAATTAAATATAATTAAAAATTGACATTCTAGTTAAGTGAATAAAATGAATCTGTTTGACAAAAAAAATAATTTTGCAAATCAATTTGGGACGAAGGTAGTATTACATAATTAATAAATTTTAGATAAATTATAGTAGTACAAATTTAAATGATTAAACCATACATCGGTCCGATTCCAGGCTTCCTATGAACTAGCAAAGACGGTGAAAATGTAAAGGCACTAGTCAAAATAATGGTATAAATGTAAATTTAAATAATTGAATCATACTTCGGTCCGGTTCGGTCCGGTTCGGTCCGGTTCGGTCCGGTTTCGGTTCTCATTTCATGAGAACCGATCATGGCATTGTTTAGAATCAGTACGGTTCGGTTCGGGACAAAAAAATTGAGATCCGTTTCAAACCCCGTTTTTCGGTCCGGTACCATATCGGTTCGGTTCGGTACCATGCCGGTTCGGTATTTTTGCCCAACCCTAGTAGCTGCCCTGGATTATCCGAAGCAGATAAAAAGTATTGAGAGTTTTGATCTACGACAAATGGAGTGGAGGATCCTTCACCAGGTTTTTACATGGTGCTTTGAAGAACTATTTTTTTATATTTGGATCGTTACATGCTCTGGTACCATAAAGAAATGTTTTGCACCAGGAATTAAGTTTTCTCATTCATGTGAAGGATATATATACAGAAGAATACAATACAAAATATTACAAGTAAATATTGCCTTTCACAAAATACAATAGGAAAAATTGAAAATAATAATCTCAACTATTGCCGGTCCGTTGAAAATAATCTCAAC